CCAAAAAGATAATTTATTGCACTGAGCTGAGCTATGTAATTATAAATTACACACAGAAAAAGCAATATAAATAATAACAACAAGGAATGTCACTGATCTTAATCTAGTCTTTGTAGAAGTGAAGGTCTCTCAACAGCTGACATTAATTACTCTTGCAGAGCAAGAGCAAGAACTACAAAAGCTTTTCTATTTTCTCACTTCTTTCTAGTAAACTGCTTGCTTCAGCAGACTGAAGCCCATGCTTAAGCTCTTGGTATACACCAGTTTAGAGTCAATAAATGTTACCTAGTGACTACTGTATACTGTAGAAAAGCTGAGGAGTCTAAAAACTGCATTGAGTTCTAGGCAGGGGAAATTTGTAAGCTGTCTTAAGAATTTCCAAATGTATTGGCAAAGGTTTCTGTGCAGGCATGCGTGTGTGAGGAACGCCTAACCTATTATGTGCAAATAAATAATAATGCCATCCTTGATTAAGTAATGAGTTGTGTACCTTACATTTGTAAAAATGGCAAAGAATCACAGCACAGGATGATGTGGTTACTAACACCCTAGCTATTAAATCTTGCTACTAAAACATTAACTACAATATGAAATACTCAGCAGATTTTTCTACTTTTTTTTTCCAAGTTTGAATGCTAATATTCATAAGAAAATGATGTCATTGATTAAACTCATAACCACTTTCTGCCAAAAGGAAAATAAACACATTGGAATGACATCTGGCATTAAGTCTCTGTTTCCTTAAAAACATGTTTGTACTTTCTGTTTCTCAAGACACCAAGGACAACAATAAAATCTGTATTCTGACAAATTTTACAGCAACAAATTAGTACTAATTAGTAGTTGGAATTTTAAACATGAAAATACTGTACTGTCAAGAGCTCTCCACCTAAGTGTATGCACACAGCTTCCACCACCAAAGTATTTGACCTACTTGTATTACTACTAGGAGTGACTAAAAATTCCAGTTGCTTTTGCTAAAATATTAATGTTCTCTTTTTTATGGTAGCTGAAAGGACTTTTAGTCAGATAGGCATCACAAAGGTAGTTATATCCACCGATCTATAGGATGAAACTGTGAAAGTGTTAACAATTTTTGGTTATGGATTGATTTTTTGAATTTGTTTGGTTTGTGGGTTTTTATACTATTCTTTATTATTAATTTGATTCAAATTACTCTTGAGATTATGTGACATTAATCAGCATCAGAAAACAAAATTTTGACAGTTCTGAGATCCAATGGTAGCATCATGGTTTTTACATCAATGCTGAAGCTGTCTAATTTCCCAGAAAATTGTGAAATGTTGGACAGCTGGTGCAAAAACTTTGTGGCACAAAAAATCTCAAGAAGCAAGATTTCCCTCTCCAACACTATAATAGCAATGAATTTAATAATCTTTCAGATACACTTATTTTTGTCAATTCAGCTATTCTAAGACAACAATGCTGGTACATTTGCAGTTTTAGAAGGAAGTTTACCCCAGATACCTTAAAAAAGAAGGGAATGTCCTCATCCTAAAGAAGAAAGACAGCTTCCTCTTTTGGGAAGGGTCACTGAAAAAAATCCTAATCTTGGAATTCAAAATGGTGGGGGTTAATAAAATAAGACTTCTACTCAGTATGACAAGTACTTTACTCTTAAATCTTGAGAATAAGTTATGCCAGAAGGATTCAGCAAATTCTAAGAGGTAGCACCAAACCAGCAATTTTAGAGTAGTGCCATGCAGGAGGAAAGACATTTTCCCTTGAGGCACATTATGGTCCTATTCTCACTATCTGCTGGGTACTTTTAAACTGAATTTGGAGGCAAAAATCCCTGCTCAGTAAATATATGAGTAGTATATGTTAAAAACAGCAAGGTTTTTTTCTCTCACAGTGTCACATTTTGTTTACTGTGGAGAGAGCTCCTCCTGTGCTTTTGTATTTCATGGGCCCAAGAAAAGGACCAGATAGCGTGGCAGAACTCGGAAAATGCAAAAGGCTTAAGTCCTTTAACCAGAGGTTTAAATCCTCTCCCCACAAAGACACACATTTTAGAGGAACAGGGAATATAGCTAAAAAGTATGGAGTGGCAACACTCTGTTACCTCCCTAAATATTAAATCTTCACTTGCAGGGAAACAAGGCAGTCACATGAGGAATACTGGAGAGTTACAGGCTGCGTGGTGCAGCATTTGGTCTCTGTTCCCTTTCCCATTTATCAGTTTTATGGATGGTTAGAATGAGAAAAAACAGAAAGAGGATCTCAAGAGAAAAAAAATGCAGTGGGGTAGGATATCTCCTAGGTAAATAGGACAAACTGTTTCAATTCACACAGCATTTAAAACTCCTCAGTAATGAAAGCTCTATCATGTGCAGAGGTAGAGCAGTAAAACACAGAGAAAACCTGTGAATGACAAAATGAATTACTTTGATGCATTACTCTTAGATCATGATCCTCTTTCCTTTGAGGTCAACACTATGATTCCATTGAAATCTAATTTCACTCTCAAACTACTCATCCATCCCAGTAAAGGAGAGAACGGCACTGTGCTAAGTATGCAGCTGCACTTTTAGCAGACCTTCCGTCAAAATCAAACTTCCTTGATGCAGATGTAAAAAATTTAATGAGCCAACATCAGTCTGGAAAAATGTAGAGATTTTAGTTATGACAAAATAGTAAAGTGGGATGTTTTGACCTCTAGCAGACCATTTATTCAACTGAGTACTTGCAATTGAAAAGGATAAAACAAGGAGCAGAGAGAAAAAGAAAAAACCAAAAAGGTTATTCAGTGTAATAGTTAGACAAAAGGTTTCTTATTAACAATGTGGTTTTTTTCTGAAAAGCACAAACTAGATTAAGCAGAGAATCATGAGAGCCATCAGAGAGATGCAGTAACAACAAAAATTCCAGCACTGTGCAGATTTATTTTTTTGGGAAATCTGAGATTCTACCATCAACTGTTTTTACTGCAATATCTCCTTTAGCATCAGCTGGAATCTGACATGCATCCATCAGCAGAAAATCTAGAATTCCTACATTGGCAGAATCTAACAATATTAGTCCCAGTAGATCTTTTACAAACAGTTGTCTTCAATGTTGTTCCAATATACAATAGAAACAATACTGCTTTCATGTTGAAACAAGTACTTTTTATTGAGGATTCTTTAAGATTTATTATTTTAAACTATATGAAACATAACAAATATGCTAAAGAATTTCTCAGTAGTACTGCTGAAATAAACTATCACAGCACCAAATTTAGTGCAGTGTGCTATGTACCAACCATTCACAAAGTAATGCCCTGGATGATTTTTTTAAAATAAAAATATCGCTAATGTCTTCTGGGTCGCAACACTTTGCTCTCCCTACATACCTCTGTAAACAGTGTAAAGACAGGCCATGCACTCAGAAGCAGATAACGCATGTCAGATTTTGTCTTCAAAATAGTCTATATAATTCAAAATAACTGTTGCTTGAGCTACTGAAAACAAGTATGTGCTTCAGGAACAGTTAGAAATGCTAGCCTAGAAAGTTTGCTTTGGCTAACACAGTTTACCTTAATATGATGGTGGAAGGCAAGAGGGTATAATCCAAAGCCACCTACGATTATAAGAGTGCTTGTTAAACATTTCTTTTTCATGAAATATGTAGTTTGGTTGTTCCTTACCTCTGTTTTCCCATTCTCTGCTGATTTACTGCATGGCTTTTATATAGGCAGCTGTCTGTTGTTGTGAAAACAATGCTGAACTTGCAGCTTTATTTTAGTTCTAAAGCTGAACTGGTTTTAAGATGGAACTTAGTCAGCCTCTGAGAAGAGCTATGTGACATGACTCACTGTGGGAGAGAGAAGGGGACTATGGGCTGTTAGTCCCATCCTCTACAGAAGAACTATAGAATGGCTAGAATGAATTCTTTTACCTGAGGTGTTTTTCCTTTTTTTAATAAATAAATTTACCTATGATACTCCAAAATATTTCAGTCTTACCAAGAGACAACAGTTTTGGAAGTGAATTTAGACAAGAGCTTGCTACTAAGTTTCACAGTTTTTTGCTTTCCAAACCTTGCAGGAAGCCATTGACTACAAAGCTATGAAATGAAGTATGGGCATATTCTTCTTGAAGGACCAGGGACTGTACCCTGCTGCCAGAGATGAAGAGGAAAATCAAATTGGTTGGTTGTTCCAGACACCTGATTTTTACAGAGGTATCTGGTTTTCACTCATTTAAAGCTGACTCATTAACTTCATTGAGAGTTTACTCATCAAGACATGCCTCTTGTTAGGGTTTCAGAAGATGGTTAAAACAATAAATAGTACAGGAAGAAAAGTTTTGAGCTTTCTGTGAACTTCAGCAGAAATTAGCTTTACTAGGTTCTTAGAAAAAGCTCCTCCTTTGTTTGGTACATCTCCAAAGGTTAGTAGGATAAAGTTCAAAATACCACTAACTCTTAATTTCCTGAGAGCAATCCAAATGTGACAGAAAATGGTATGTAAATAATACTGTGGTCAGAGACAGGATGCCATAAAAAATGTGATGGTGGGAAAAACTGAGGTTAGATGACAGTTTTGAACCAGAGAAACCTCACTCTCCTGGTGTGTGGAATTTCCAACTCAAAAAATTAAACAAGTTTTACACTTACATAGTAACAAACTCCTCTCTGCATTTGATTCAGCATGTTACCTCAAGAAGCATATAATAATAATGATAATGACAATGATAATGATAATGATAACAACAAGCCTAGGCAATACCAGAATCAATATCTTCTTGAAACTTCATATAAATGTAAAAATGTCACCCTATTCAGATTACTGATATGCTTCACCTTTAATGCCTACTCTTTTGTTTATATATATATAATTTCTTAGACACAGCTATAAAAGAATAAATATGTAGGTTACTATTCCTTTTACCCATTTGGTAATAAGGAACAGCTTCGTAGCAAGACATCCCAATGCAGTTCTTCATAAAAAAATACAAGCTACAGAATGCAATGGAAAATCAAAATATTAAACATACCTGCAGAAGTAATCGCTCAAAGGCAAGGAAATTGTCCCATTTGGAAGTCTGGGGGTGTTTCAAAGTCTGGACTGTGGCCAGCACAAGCTGTAGAAGACCACAGTGGTTCTCCAAAGCTTTGAGATTGTTTCGGAAAAGCTGAATGTATGAGCTGAGCTGTTCGGGGGTGACTCTGCCTGTAGAAAGGAAAACAGGACACAGCATTCAGTGGAGAAAAATGAAAAACTACATTTTTTAAATTATTGTGAAAAGGTTATAGAGAACTTTAGAGGCCTCTCCACTATGGGCCTGATCTTAGCTTTGCTGCAATCACTGGGAGCTTCAGCTGCAGCAACAGGTCAGGACAAAGACTTACATCATCCATGAATTGTGCCTTGAGATATGCAATATGGTAGGTTTTTAACAATGTTAAATGTTAAATAGTGACATAAAGGGTAATATTTTCGTTTTCAGACACAGACGGACATTCATTTCAGCTAGGGAAATAATATTTGATGACTGCTTCTAAACAATCTTTCTGTTTTTACCAGAAGTCCAATGGGAATTTGTGAGTTTTCTACCTTACAGCAAATTCAAATCTTCTCACCACTTCCTGAGGGTACATTTTTTGATTAGTCTTGACTCAAGAAACAGATATAATGTTAGTGACGCAAGGAATGACTTTTGGAGCTGTTCTTGGAAGGGACATTTCCAATGTGTGACCCTTCAGTTTCTGACATGCAGTAACCACAGCATGATTTCACCAGCTGTTTGAAAATAAACACCCCAATGCCCACTCATGGTCCTGTAGATCTTTTCTTATTAGAAGAGCATGAGGGGCACCATTCGGGCCAGATGAAGACTACAGGATTAGCTGTTTATCCAACATTAAAATGCCAGCTGAACTGCTCAAGCAACTTATATTTTGGAAGGGATCTCTTTCAGGAAGGAAGGCAGCTCAACTATGCCAAGAAAATCACCACAGATGGCAATTACACATGCCATCAACAGACAGGCAAAAATGGTGTCAAAACACCATCCTAGCTGCAAGTCTGGATTGCGACCCAGGCCAGGGCTGGTTCCTGGAAGCCTCTGCCAGTAACAAGTCATCTTCCTCAAGCAAACCAGACCTAAAAAGCAGGGATATATGAACTAAAGTGAGGAGGATCCTTTAACTTAAATGGGACAGTCTTTGGTGCCAGGAAGACTGGAGGGTGTCCTGATGCTTATTGGTTCATAGCTTACAACATTGATAATTTCAGTCAGAATTTTTCCATAAAGGAAAAAATCTTGTAAAACTGCCACTGTGTTTCTTCCCTGTGTTAGGTTATATCATCACTTAACAAGGCTCCCCATCTGCCTTCATCCTTTCAGTATCATATAAATGGCAAATAAATTATTCCAACAGTGAATAAATGTTGAAAGCTCTTCCTCTTAGTTTCAGGGATATCAAGGGCGGTCTTTGGAAGAGCATTTAGATTTGGAAAAGCTGCTAAATAAAGCAAAAACACACAGGCTCTTTATGTGAATTTTAATGGAAAGCATCAAACTGAAAAGTCAGCAAATTAACACACAAATCAAGCTGACACCACTCAGTGGGCCAGAGGGCTGACAAAAGGCTTCCACGGTTAGCCCACATAGGCTAAAACAGCAACCATGGCCATGTGTGTTTTTAGACTAAACACTGGAGCTTTCAGTCTTGTTTTATTTCTTTTAAAGCTGTGTCAGGCAGATTTACACGGTGATTTGAAAATGTCAGTCCATGATGCCTTGCAGCATACCTTTGATAATGACTGCATTATTACCCAGAGCAGTGCTGATATATTGTAGCATATTCAAAATCTGATAACTTGCTTCAATTGAGAAAACGTGCAGTTGCCAGCCCTTCCTTCATATGAATCAGAAGAATAGGAGGGCTTTCAAGACTTCTGATTTCAATTAAAAAAAAAAAATTCAAGAGTTTTGTTCCACATTGTTCCTTGTGAAAGCGAATCCAGATGAAGCACCAGATCAGTTTGAGAGCCATTCAGCACCATTACAGATAAACAATCAAATTCTTTCCCACCCTCAGAATACCACCAAAAGAAAGTCCAACACATATGTAAGTACAAGGAAAATTCTGACCTTAGCAAGTCATTAACAAAACTTATACTGGCATTAGGGAGTGCAGCATCTCATCTGTGATATTTACAATACCCCTAGAACCACTCAGATCCAGGATTTGAGAGTTCCAGCCAACTTCTACACAGCAATCTCCCTGGACAGCTGGCTGATAAATATAGTTCCAGTATTCTACTATTCCAGTAGCTGAGGAAAGGAATTTGGGAAAGTAATTGGTGGTAATCAGCAATTAGATGACTTTTCCTGAGGCCTAAATCCTCATCATCTTCCCTGCTGCTTGCTCACAGAGGGAGATTTCAGCACAACAGACTACTGCTAATCTAATTTCAACCCTATCAGCCCTTTGAGTTTTTCAAGACCCTCTGTTGTTTCAAATTGTTTTATTGCAATGTTGCAGATAGGTTGTAAGAAATCAAGAGGAAATCTATTTCAACCACATCATATCTTAACTGTCATTTTGTTCTCTTAAAGCATATTTCAAGGTTCACAGGCAGAACATGGCAACTACTGGCAAAAGGACTTTAGTGCAAGTGTCTTGTCCTGCTCTCTTCTTCCTGCTCCATCACATTCATACGCCTCTCCAAACTCTACATCCATGCAGAGTCAGAAGTCTGTGCGGGCATCAAAGCCTGACTGTGAGAAATACGTTATGCTGACAATGCACTTGATAATTTTTAAATTCCTGAATGGGAAAAGGAAAATCTTGACCTCAACCACTGTTAGGATTTAAAAATACTGATAACCTTTTTGAATAAATGCCAGGAATTCCATATTGTCTAAGAAATAACCTTTGCCATTAACAGTTATCAAGCAGAATGTGTGAAACAGGTATATTTGTCCCAAACTCAGTCAACTACATCCCAATACAGGACTTGAAAAAATGACGTCTACTGAAAGCAATATTAAAACAAAACAAAAACCAACCACACACACACACAAAAACAACTACAAGCCTCAAGAATAACAACACCACCACCACAAATTACCCCAACACTTGGAAGCCTCAAGCCTCTTCACAAGTATAAGAGAGAGGATAAAATCAGTAGGTAGTCACTAGGAGGTATCACAGAGAAACCCAAAACTTAACAGAATATAGGAGGTTGGGGAGCAGGTAAGAAAAACAGACTAATGATGTGTGGAAACTACTTCAGCTAAAAAACAACAAATGGCTAGTTTGGCACAATTAACATATTTGTGCACTAAAGAAATTATCTTGGGAAACAGAATGAAATAATAGGGTAGGAAATGAGACTGGATATTACAGAAGTAACAAAAACATGACAGACTAGTGACCAATCTCACTACTGAGGGACCTGTCCTATGCAAAAAACACTGAACATCAGTGTGATAAAGCAGTCCTGTGTTTTAGGGCTCTGATAAATGGAAGACAAAAAGTAAGACATAGCAGAGACTAGACTAGCCTAGGAAAAGAGAAATCTAACATTTGTGTCAAAGAAATGATGAAATTAGCTACCTTACTTAGCTGATATCAGGATAAATGTCCAAGAAAAAAAAAATCTTGCATCACATGTAAAAATGGGATAAAATGCAAAGTACATTTATCAAAGAACATCACGTCAAACTGAGATTTAACCAATCAACAAATTAATTACAATACAAATGGATTTAACATAGCATTAATTGTGCCCTAACCATATTTGAGTGGGAATAGAATGGGATTACAAGAATTGTAAGATACCTAAGAAACACCCCAAAACAGATGGCAGGCAATATGCAACTGAGAAGTACTAGTATATAAAAAGAAAAGATAAAATAAGAGTGTTCTGTGTGCTTGTACATATTTATAGTTCAAATTTTGGTAATAAATGGTGCCAAAACAGGTGCTGTCAGAAGCTGGTGGAACATCATTAATAAGGAGAAAGAGCAGCCAGCAGATCTGGATTGCTTTGAGTACTGGACAAATGTCAGTAGGATGAAATTTATCAGTATAGAAATGATGCATTTTGGGGGTAGGGTAGAGCTATAAATGCAGAGTTAAAACCCGGAAATGACAAAAGAAGGAAATAATGTCTAGGCTTGTTTATTGTAAAAGAGCAGGTACAATTCCTTTCAAGTGATACAGTTGTAGTAAAAACAGAGGCCATAGAATGCTTCAATGTCTAGAGGCCATAGAATTGCCTCAATACAAAGCCTCTCCTTCCTGGAGTCTGCTCTGTGCAGCTCAAATCACTCCTGTTCCTGGAAGTTTAACTCAAAACTGTGATGCATGCACAGAGAGGACGCTATAACAATTAGGATGACAGAGAACTAAAGTTAGGAAAGCAAAACAGAAATGTCTGGCTTATATGGGCTCCCTGCATCAGCTGGTAAAAAAATGAGGTCTCTTTGAATACATAAAAAATATTTACATGAAAGTTCAATACTGGTACTACAACCAATGGGGATAAATAATACATTAATATATTTACACAAGACATTAAGAAACATCACTGTATCAATCAGTCTTCCAGTAGTGGAGGCAAACAAATATAACTTGCTCTAACGTGAGTTTTGATGAGTGTCTAATGAGCAGCTGCATAAATGTTCATAGGCTTAATTCAATATAAATGGACCACTTCAATCCTTTATTCCTATGGTAATTAATTTGTAAAAACACTGGTTGAATTCCACCTCCAACTTTCAAGAATTTAGAGCAGATCTCAAAAGAACTGCAGAACAATTCTTCCTACTTGTCAATTACAGAAGGTGCTGCTTGGTTCTGTTTTTGTTTTTATTAATAATTAGTTGAAAAAATAATTTTTTGCTAAATATGAAAACAGCAGCACTGAATATCAACATTTTCAGTGTTTTACCATATCAAATATACACAGTTCATAATACATGTACAAATGATGTCATGCACAATTATTCTGAAGGGAAGAAGTATTTTTGTTACTGGCAAAGCAGATCACTCAACATAGACATACTGTAGCAGAAATTACCAGCAAATGATATTAAAGGTCTGTCAAAAATCTGGGTTTGAGTAGTAAAAGTAGGCTGAGTGGAACAGAAAGACTTTCACCTTAACAGTTAAACAAAAACGCAACTGGACAAACCACATTTGTAGACATTAAGA